AAAAGCGTTAATGTCCATTTAACGCATGAATGATGTTGACCTATTTCGTTTTTTTTTGTCATCTTTTCATTTGAACGAGTATAACGATAGACTAAAGAATGAATTTCGTTCGCGTGTCTGGTAAAATTGGTCTGACAAGTCTTTGGATATCTTTGGTATCCTACTTTTTATCGTTTATTCTTTATATTATATCATTTTCACTTCCTGATTGGATTGTTTACACAACAGTTCCGGTTAAAGTTGGCATATGGCGTTTATGTGATGTGCAAGTACGACATTTTTCTCGTTCGACCATATCATTTGCCGTTTTGTTTCCAAATCTAGATCATCGGTTATGATCGTTGCGCTGATTGGAGCGCTCGTGCATATCCTAGTAATGCAACAAATACAGCATTTATGGGTCCACCGGATTTTGTTCGGACAAGTCAATCATTGGAGGTTGTTGTACTTGTCTTTTACATTATCGCAGGCATTCTACTTCTCAGCGGTCTGTGTCAAAGATCGATGGGAATATTATTTTTCGCATCATCAATGTCAATGCTGATCACAGGTTGGTTTTCGATGAAAAATATTTGTAACTAAACGAAAGCTTTTAGTTATTTTTGCGTCGGCAACTGTTGGTTTATTTGCTGGTCAAGGCAAAACTACCTATTTAGGTTATCTGTCGTTTGCATGGTGGATGGCTTTGATTGCTTTGATTATTTCGTTAGTCAGCGTACTTTTCCTACTGGTCCTTTCATTTTATATTCTACCTTTACCTATGGTGAATGAAAATAAAATGTACGTTGTTTCGATTTCTTGCAGAACGAAAAGATTTCCTTGAATTTCTGTTTAGGGCTGATCCAAACGGCAAAATGTATTACACATCACCACCTTATTCGACAAATCTCTATAGTCCACCCGACATGAATACGGACTACATGCATTAGGAAATAAAGTCAATAGATGAACATTTATTAATCAAATTTCGGTTGTTCGCAGCATTTTTTCAGAGAAGAAAAATAAATCAAATCGTTGTAGACATAGAATAATTGAAGAAGCAACTTCGTCTTTCTCTTCGCTCTGACTGTCATGAATGCGAGACAAGGAGAAGAAAGTATCGACTTAAATAAAACGGATCCGTCTGCGGGGTAATTTCGATTTTGTGAAAAAAAGAAAGAGTATAAAGTTGACAACAGATATAAACGGATTTCATTTTTCTTCACCTTGATAATGGCGAGAATGGTGAAAAACTATCATTGACGAGAGATCAGCGAAATAGATGTAGAAGGCGATGCGTGATAAGAATACTTCTTGGCTCACAAATCAAGGGAGGAGCATCTGTCGTGAAACAGATAGAAGAGATGTATGATGAAGAAAGTCAAATTGAAGAAACATCGTCATGCAGTCTTAGTTGCTGACGGTAGCATTACAAAAGCTTTCGACATATGGCTATGAATATGTATAGAACTGTACGTATGAAAACATGTTCTTAAACTTGGCATCTATTTTCTTTAATTACTGTATATCTCTCAGATTTGTGACAACAAATGATTCGCTTATATTCCGAAACATGTAAGCAAAAAATATCGCGATTCTCGAAAAAAGAAACTTTTTCGGATGAATGAAATCTAAATTAAAAAAATCAATCGTTGATTTCGACCGACAGAACCAAATAACAAAATACGCACATTGACTACAAATTCTTATTGATGAACTCTTTTTCTCATAATCACCAGTACTCGCTCCGCTTTTTCTCGTAGAAAATACGTTCTAGCAGTATACCCGCCAATCGATTTGATTTCAACAAGTAACTATAGTTTCAATAACGTCAAATTCTCTTGTCATTTGTGGCACTTCAATATTTAACGATCGTTTTACGAAATTCGTCTTCATAAAATCTCGATGGTAAACCAAAAAAAAAACTGAAATAAAATATACTGAAAGAAAGAGCCACGAAGCATTAATTGATTCCATATATTTCGACACATAAGTCAAGATCGGACGTGGCACTGGAAAGAAGAACCGATAGGACCGACGAAACAAATGGATGCCTCTGTTTTCTTGATAATTTTCGCGTAAAATCTCTTTCAAACTTCGTATTTGCTGGAGATTTGATTGTTGAAGCGATTTCTTCGTTATGAAAATAATCGCGAACATCAAGTTGATTACAAATGAAATAAGGAATTATGAACTGCGTTTATAATCCTATCGTAAACTTGATGAATATATAAAATTTCACTCCCAGGCAAGGTGTTGTAATCAACATTGTCATCGTTTGCCATAATAGCATGAAATACATAGATATGTGGGTTTCCTGTAACACTCTGATCTCATTTGATAATATTTCCCATCGTTTTGACATTCGTTGTATCCTGAACAATCGAATGTTTTCGTATGATTAAATTGAAAAAACTTTGTCAAACGTTTTCCTTAATGATAATAACAAAAACACTATAATGAGCTTGGCCATGAGAATATGCAAGGTTTGCTGCCGCAGAATTTTGACACCATGAATGATAATATTTCATATGTTGAAGAGAAGAATATTGTAAAATTGTCTCATTAAATATTTTATTGATATGTGAGCAATGATCGAGTGATTTTATTTGTTTTCTTAACTTTTGTGCTTCGGCATATAGTGCGGGAGTATCATGACAAGAGTTCAAGACAGGTCGTTTTTCGAGCGAAATATTTTGATATATTAAATTGTAGAAGCGAATCCTGGAATAGGTTTTAGTCAAACCGTTTGTATATGGTGGAAATTTAATATTTTTATTTCGTCGACGTTCTAAATTTGAATAGATTCTTCTGGAAAATAACTAATAGAAACAGTTAAAAAATTACTTTTGTTACCTTATTTCATTACAAAGGTAATTCCATTTTTAATTTTTTCCTTGTAAAACAAATCCGTACTGCAATTTGATAAATCAGTATTCAACAACATAGTAGTATAATCAGAAGTAATTGTTCCTCAACAATACAGTGATAAAAAAAATAAATGAAAATTGCGTCATACTCGTTGACTGCTGTTGGCGGAAAGTTCACTTTTTACCTGAAAACATAATTCATACAAAACCATATATACTGATGATAACTCTCTCATCTATCTTTGCAGTAAAAAGAGATACACAAAACTATTATGCTATTTAGATTGCAACTATCTCCGTCACAAAGAAAACGACGTAGAACCGACAAGAGAGTTTTTCAGTAAAATACAACGTCATACATTTCACTTGAAGTTGCTCTCGAACTGATAAGAAATCATGCGTAAACGATAATAGGAAAATGAGCGTGGGCAACTTGTTTTTCTTCGAACATATGATCATCTGAAAATCTAATTCATTTATAGACGAATACCGGTGAAAGTGTATAGTTTCGTAGTGATAATGACTTTTAGAAAAATTTTGGATGATGCATTCTCTTCAAAGTACAGTAAATGAATCTTTTCCTGTGAGATCTTTGAAACGGCAATTTGTAGTTTATTTCCTTTTCTATTTCCTCTGCCGAAGAAGGTTTATTTACAAGCAAAACTTTTCTTCATATATAGTTGTAACGCTTTGCTGACGGAACACAATAGATCATTTGTTTCTGTAAGAGACATACATGATGCAGGCGAAAACTATTTTTTATTGGCTTTACCAGAAAATAAGTAACTACAACGTCTTTATACCTGAAGAAGATGATTATGATGAGAATGAAAATGAAGTAATAGACGCAGCAACGCTAACAAGACGTCAACGATATGCAACTCGATTGTATACTTTACTTCTCATAGGTATAGATGTTCAACTAGTTTTTTGTTGTATGAAATACTATGTCTTCGATCGGTGAGAGTGTTCAGTATCAAATCTACCTTGTTTTTCCTTTTCTTTTTAGTGTTCTTGTACATTCTCTACTACACTGCTCTGAAGAAACCACAGTCTCGCACAAATATTATTTATTCGATCAATCTTGATGTTTTCAATCAGCTATATTTTGAACATAACGACACTCTTTCTTGTCCATGTTCACGATCTGTGACGCTTTACCGAGATTTTGTATCTTACAATGCCACCTTTCATTCAGTTTGCCATAGTATATTTGTCAGTGATACATGGATCGAAGCACTGTACTTTCCCAATGCGAGTCGGTATGCCGTTGCAGACTTTCGAACAACAGCCAATGCTCAAGTAAGAAATCGGTCATCTATTTGATGGATGACATGAGTGGTCTTTGCCCGTTTCTACTTTACTGCAGCACATCGAGTACATTTACGATTTTCTCATCTAGTTCCGACTTCTGGCTGACTTATGCTCATTTTCTCAAGATGCAATATTACAAAATCAGCATGATCTCGATAACAATGAGTTGGTCACTCTTTATCTTCTTCATCAATCACAAGTTCACTCAGAAGTCAATGCCATGATCGACCTGTTTGAGAGCACTCTTACTAGTCGAATCAATTCATTTCTTAGCTATCTTCGAATCACCACACGAGCAAATTATTTAGTTTCAGCTCTGAACACAAATTTTCTGATCCTCTATCAGAAGGAAGTCGATATTAAGGTAGGAGGTGCAGTAACGTTTGGTTCGTGGTCTATAACCGGAAAAGATGACAGCGCATATGCTCCATGCAGCACTGAAAATCCAACCAGTGCAACAAGTTTCATCTCGCTTTCATGGGAGCCTGCGTTTTTCGATCATGCAAGATGGGAGGAGCCGCCAGCTTACCTCTCCCCTATAAACGGCTTTTTTGCTGCGTGTACTCCTTTTGAAGCTATTTTGAAAAGTACACTCAACTGTCTGTACGATGCAACATGTATTCAACTATTATCTGATCATTTCCCACGTCTAAGTCGAGTAAAGATAATTCTATTCCGTCTCGTCTTTCATATCACAGTTATTGTGTTTAGACGAATATCAGTGTGAAAAATTCTGTTCTTCTCGGTTCAAAGAATACAAATATATCTGTGCACGATCTTTTGCTGAATTTATTTGTCCAAGACCGAAGGACCAGTATTACTTATTCGACATATTTTCAACAGTGTTCTCCTTCATTTTGCACTTACACAACAACGGACGAAAGCAATATTTCCTATACAATTACTCTTTTCGTCAGTCTTTATGGTGGTCTCGTTCTTATATTCCGTTTCATTGCCTCGTTTTCGATCAAGATTTTATTCAAATTGAAATATCATACGCAAGGTACAGATATCAGTTGATAAAGAAACTATTGTTCCATGTAACTTCTTCGTTTATCGTTTTATAGTCTCTGAGACTAGGAATCATGCTTCACAATTTGTTCGATGGATGAAACGTTTGAATTTGTTCAAAAAACTTGATGACCGATCTGACGAGAGTGTCAAACAACAAAGACTAATGACGCGTGTGTATTTGGCATTACTAATGGGTACGCTTCATTTCTCAGTAATTGTTTTCTATCTTGGAAGTTTAGATATGTGGATTGATATAGATTCTCTTTTATTGCTTTTTAATTATTAGGTTCAATGATCACTCTTTTTCTATACACTACATTCAGCAGTCGCCTAACCATCGTCAACATTCCTCACCCATCATTAAACACTTTCGGTAACTTACAGGTCTTATACTTCGATACAATTCGATGCCCCTGTACCAATACAAACACATTGTATCGCACATTCCTCTCATTATCTCCAGTATTCCATCAAGTATGTTCGAGTGATTTTGTCACGGATCGATGGCTTCAAATACTAAGATACACCTATAGCTTTGACATGAATTTTGACTGGCGCAGTAGATCTTTTTCACAATTTCAGTTGTTGTCTAGTCTTTGTCAATTTGCTAATCAAACAGTTAGTGATGTCATTCGTCGTTTTCTCGCTGGATCGTTTATTACTTCGAATGTGTTGACCGAAGTCGATTTTCAAAAGCAGATAAATACCATTTTGACTGAATTTATATTATCAGCAGTTACCTACTTTGACCTTTTTGTCGAAACAACAGATCTTCTTTTACAAGTCGACCAACCATTTATTGGATCACTGTACAATACCTATGTTAAAGGAGATGCAACCTTACTCTTCACTCCGTTAGAACTTGAAGTAAATGGTTCAAGAACTGCTCAAGTATGTCAAATGGAGAATGATCAACATTGATCTTCTTTCTTCCACTGAAGGTTGATGCGTAGTCAGCTATTTGACTGTTTTGTTTCAGCTAATTCTACAAATGTTTGGCACCCGTGACATCTACACAGGAACGATTAATTGTATCTGTGCAACTGATCCTTCTTGTCGAAATGCGATGGCTATCTACAACGACGAACTTGATGATTACACAGCCGATCCTGTCCGTGTCAACTATATAGTGCCAGGTTTCCGTGCAGGCTGTTTCGCCTTGAAATCCCTTCGTCTCTCAACTCTCGAATGTTTATATTCTAATTCGGAATGTTTCTCGATTCTAATGGATTACATTCACGAGATATATACTTTTAATGTTGAAGATCCGGTGTGGTTCGATGCTCGACCTCTGGTTTTCAATTCCACATCGAGTAAATTTTCTCAAAAGATCGAAATATCAAAAATAATCAGTGAAATCATGGTCGAAAAATGGAATCCCTCTATTTCCTATAAGCTTTTTTACGAATCATGTGCACCTAGTCATTGTTCTTATTCCGAAAAAGTCCACACAAAGACGGCGTCCACAATTGTCATCACTTTGATATCCGTGATTGGCGGTGCTAGTGTTCTACTTCATTTACTAACACCTTACCTCGTCAAGTTCTTGATTCGTATATTCACAAAGAGGAAACGAAGACCACAGCAACAAGGTAATCTTCTACCCTTTCTTTCGCTTGAAAGAAAAGCATATATTATGAATAACATAATGACGTTTTGTATATAGCCCGAAGGGAATTATTCAAATATCTTAAGATCATCATACAAGAACAGACCGTACGATTGTACAATACTGCAGTCGATCTCAACATATTTCCTGTGCGCCGTTTTGGAAATAACGTCAGTTACGCTATAGCTAAACGTCTCGGTCAATGGGCTACCCGCCTATTCCTTCTGTTACTCGTTGTTGTGCTCGTGATCACGGCTCTATATACGCTTATTCAACCACAAGCGCTTACGAAAACTTTCGATAAGCCATCCTTCGATTATTACACGCAGCTGAAGCAAAAATATGAAGATTCACTGAAGTGTCCATGTTCGTCGGTGGCATCGATTTATAATCAATTTCTTAGTATTGATCTTGATTTTCATCAGGTAATTACAGATTATTGTAATGTAGATCGGAGATTTGAATTGATGAATTGTAGTTGTGCTCAAGTGAGTTTATCCTGGATGAATGGAGAAGTAATCTGACTACTGGCCTCGCCGCTAACCTATTCATATATTCGCAGAGAGATTATCGTCGGTTCCTTTCGGCGCATTTGCAGTTTCTCCAAGGTTTGTGCCAATTGTCCATGAAGTCGGCCAATAGTTTGGTTCAACAGTTTCTTTCCTCACTATTCATCACCACACAATTGTTGTCTGAAACTGATTTCAATATCCGTGTCTCGTCTTTGATAAATCAAACTAAATCCAATGCGCCTATTTCATTGAATCGTCTTCTTTCTTCAACGCGTATCGTCAATCATGGAAACATCATCATTTCCACTTATGGAACTAACTTCGAGTATATACAAGACAAAGAGTATTCCAGCACACAGGCTGTTACCTACGACGATGGATGCTCTTGTGACTTATCACCAAACTGTACGACGCAAGCGAATTTTATCGAACTAAATGTTCCACGAAAAGTGTCAATCATAGGCATGAAAATGGGGTGTACACCGAGTGATTCATTTCGTTTGTCAACTCTTGAATGTTTCTTCGATCAGGTATGTCTTGACCATGTCCAATACTATACTCACTATTCACAACGTATCGTTCCACTGAATCTCACGATGAAACGATTCTCGGTGGAATCAACCGTGAATGAACTGATCAGTCAGGCATTTGTTGAAGAATGGACAACAGCCGTGAGTTATATCTCTTATTTCAACAAGTGTTCACCTCTGTCATGTTCACATACTTACGTCAAGCGATTCGATTTTTTCTACACAATCATTGTTTTAATTGGCCTTCAAGGTGGTTTGACAATTGTTCTCAAATGGATCTGTCCTCAGATAGTTCGTCTCTTGCACAAAATATTTCAACATCGCAAAAATCTAATCACTCCTGTTCGATCGGTTCATACCGTTGAGATGACACCCGGCGAAAGTATTAATCTTGATCCTCCGATCCGTCGCTTAGCAGATGAAGTGTTCGAGTAGGCCATTTTTCTCTGGATTTGATCGCTAACTTTCAAGCTTCTGTTATTAGAGTCGACGCTAAATCACGGCTAAAGATTTTGTCGAAGTGTTCCATTATATGTGTAATATTAGTCTTAGTGGTTATCATAGTGGTCACGTATTCAGTATTTATCAATCGATGTGAAAGAAGTCAAGAGACTCCAATAGGTAATGATCTTATCATCACTATTTTATAACGTCCAGGATCAGCAGCTACTTGCTTTTCCGCATTATTTTATTGTAGTTGTTTCCATCAACTTCACTATCATTTACTCATCAACGGCTGAGACAATAACAACGAGCACCGCAAATACTTCCTGTAAGTACAACAAGAAGATTACTTAATAATTTCCGTTCTCCGCTAGTGACACATTGTCAGCCAACATTTGAATTAATATCAGTACAAACAAGTGATGATAACCCAGCATATTTCTACCCTGTTGCTGGAGACTTCAATGGCGATAATCAGTTGGATATTGTCTATTATTCACCTGTGCTTGATAGCATAGGCGTGATATTGGGAATTGGTAATGGAAGTTTCGAAGCAGTTGTAAAGCTGACTCCACTTTATGGTGCTTCAATAGTCGAGATGGCCGTTGGCGACTTCAACAAAGACAACTATCTGGATATCGTCACTATAGTTAATGAATACGACTCATATCTATTGATGTTGGTTGGACAAGGTGATGGCATTTTCGAAGCATCTACGTCGTTTCCTCAGAGAATGTTCTATTATGCTCGTGACGTCGTAGTCTCGGATGTGAACAGTGATAATCAACCAGATATTGTTGTTGTCAGCAGCTATGGACAATATATTGTTTTGTTTCTTGGAATCAATAACGAGATGTTCACAGAATATCATGGGTTATCCGCTGGTTTTAGTATCAGTGCACGCTCGGTCGTTGTCAACGAGTTTAATAACGATAATCATTTGGATATCGCTGTCTTAGATGAATATAGTAGAAATATAATCGTCTTTCTCGGACGTGGTAATAGTACTTTTGAAGAACGGATAGTATCTTTCACTGGTGGCGCACTGGTCCCAGCTTATATAACAGTTGGGAACTTTAATGCTGATAATCGTTCGGACATTGTTGTTTCATATGAAACAAGATGTAGTATTGGTGTTATGTTTGGATATGGTAATGGAAGTTTTGGCAACATAATCAAGTTCTACACAGCAGCATCAAGAACAGACTCTCGAGCAGTCGTCATCGACTTCAACGGTGATGATCATTCGGATATCATATTTTACAGATACGATCCTTCGAGTATAGATATTTTACTTGGCAACGGAAGAGGCCGTTTTGAACGAAAAACGATACTCCCAGTTGAGATTCCGTACGATATATCTCGATTAATTGCTGGCGATTTCAACGGCGATGGTTATCAAGATATAATCAATTTAGTAGCCTATAGTTCTCCGTTTAACGTTCTTTTGAATACGTGTGAATGTTGTACAACTTAGTATTTGTATGAGGATTTGATATAAAGATGAAATACCAATACTTACATTTAGGAAAAGATCAGCAACTCTACACATTATCTCTTTCTCATTCGATAGTCTTGATAAAAAAAACATGTTTTTCTTCTTACATAATGCAACGTCTTGATAACATTCGTCAGCATTTTATCATTGTTTATATTTGTTTTTCTTCTATTTGGCTAGGTTGATATCACTCGTTTCATGTGACCATTTTACTCGTTCACAAGCATCTCGTTAGTATCATCATGATGACCAGCATTGGTCCGTTGTTTGATATTAATCAATTAAATGAAGCACAACAAAAGCAATTTCAGTTTGTTTATAATGAATTAAAACCACAGTATACATCTTACTTGGAGTACAAGCTTAGTTTGCCATTGAAGACACAAGTGAACAAGGAAGAAGAAGAAAATGAATGGAATTATGAATTACACAGATTTTTACGAGCGAGAAAATGGAATGTAGAACACACAATTAAAGCTCTAGAGGAGATGTTACAATGGCGAAGAGATAATCAAGTTGACTTGGTTTTAGAAGAGGAAGTAACACTACAACGAGCGACACTCTTACAAAAAATCCTTCCGTATATGAATCATGGCTATACAAAAGTCGACCGTCCATTGTATATGGAAAAATCCGGTATTATATGTGTTGATAAAATCTTGAGTGAATTTACGACCGAACAACTACTTCGGCATCATGTTTATTGGCTCGAACTTAATTGTCAACGAGCGAGAGAACGTAGTCGACAAATTGGTAAACATATCGAAAGTTTTACAATCGTTTCCGATCTACATGGTTGCAATATGGAAATTCGAAAAATCTTTCCGCCATTCAAACAATCTCTTTATATTGATAACAATTATTATCCGGAACGACTCGGACAAATGATCTTTATTAACCCGCCAACGGTATTTCCTATTCTATGGAATCTGGTTAAACCTTGGCTCGATCCGGTCACTAAATCAAAAATTGTTGTAATCAAAAAAGGTCCTGAAGCTACAAACACACTATTACAATATATCGATGTAGAGCATTTACCAGTCGAATATGGAGGAAATTGTCAATCATGTCCAACTGCACCGAATTGTATTCAAGTGTATAATTGGAACAAAGAAGATACTAAAGAGAAGTCGAAAAAAATTGATTTAATCCTATAGAATAAATAAACTATTCACTACGATACGATCAATGGAAAGCTTACTTTTGATATTTTCTACATGATCCATTCTTTAATCTCAAGTCGAATATCTTCACTCTCAAATTTTAGGAATATGAACGATATTGAAATGAAAGATAAAGAAATGTAGTTCTACTTTTAAATCGCTTAGCAATGAATCGAGTGTCTAAACAAAATTCAGTTGTTAAAACAAGTTTTCTCATTGAAAGAGTTATTCTACTAATGGTAATGGGAAGGAAGAGTCGACTTCTTTTATTTCTTCTGCTAGTAACGCAGTGCGTGTCGTTCTCTCGAAACGCCGAAGAAGGTCCAATTATATCTTGATATTATGATAACCAGCAGATCTGTAAGAATACGCAATGATTTCACTTTCTGAAATTTTGGGATATTTTTTTAGGGTTACTTCATAAAGTTGAATTGTTTCTGTTCTAGTTAAAATAAACAAGAAATATTCCCTTTTGATCGTCAATTTGTCGCGAAATGAATATTGTTTTGTTTCTCTTGAGAAAAAAACCTCTTAGTTGTCACATAATGATTCAAGTCAATAATAATTCACAAGAAATATAACTACTTAATCATTTTGATCGAAATCATAATCTTGCAAAGAAATAAGCGTCGTCTGTGTGTTGGCATATCACTGATTGATTGAAAAATAACAAACGAATTCCTTTCACTTGTTGAATATGAGTTTTTCAATATTATCAAATTTGCGCATCACTGATTTCGTCATCAGCTACTCTTACACATGACCCTTCTTTTTAATAATGTCAACGCTTCAATTATATAACATCATTCAAAATAATTTATCCAATTATTTAGTTAGCTTTTTCATGTGCAAACGGACTATCTATAATACGAAACACAAAGAAACAAAGCCTTTTAAGAGAAAATGCAAAATCCATTAGCAGAAGTATCATTTGGAAAAATGCAACGCACAAAAGAACACGTACAAGGGTTATTTTAGCGTAATTAATTAATTTCGAAGGCTCTTCTTTTCTTTTATCATTTCTCTAAACATAAGAACATGTTTAAAGAAAGTTATTGAAATAATTTAGAACATCATTTGGTTATATTACGATAAAAAGGTGCGTACTCGTCGAAAATACTAACTTGCCAGATATTCTACCTTTCGAATTTATTCTCAGTACTTTTCAGCGTTCTATATTTTGGATAATGAAAGAATTAAAAGGTAAAAGACTATGCGTACTCATATTTATCTTTTATTTAATTTATATACTAAAAATTTTTAACATACTGAAGATGAAAGTGGAGAACGTTGTTCTGGAAAGTACAGTATCGTAAGGATGAAAGTTTTATATCGACAGTGTGTGTGTGTGTGTACACAAGATGGCTTTTATTAATTGCAAATATCAGGTATAAATAGATTTAGAAGAATACTAGAGAACATGCCATCGTGGATATAGGATTTTACCTCTGAACAGTGTCTTTATGTATGTAATAATTAGATTTGTTATTATTTCGTTAACAAATTATTTTCCTATGATTCCAAACATGTTTTGCTATTCTAGAGTTGTTTTTCTTACTCTATCGCATCAGAATATCTTTGACTACGATGGCATCTAACGTTGTCAATAATTTGAATAGTTTGTTCAAAAGCATCAATTATTACTCATTTACTATATTCGGTAATGTTATGATGGTTGTAGGTACTGTGGCTACTTTCTTAGGTATTATTGTGTTTAGCCACAAAACAATGAGACAAAATGCTGGTTGTATTTATTATATTGCGTATTATCTCGCCAATGGACTCACGTTATATACTAGTTTATTCGCAGCAATTTTATCGTTTTTTAATATTGATCCTTCGTATAATAATGTTGCTTATTGTAAAATTTCTTTCTATCTTAGAATATCATTGGGCCTAATTGCGACATACATTCTTGTATTGGCGTCGATTGATCGAGCTTTAATTACATCATCAAAAGCGTCAATACGACAACGTAGTACCCATCGATTAGCATATTGTTCTATTTTTGGAGTAACTCTGTTTTTCTTATTATTTTATTTTTATCTTCTTATCATTGCTAATATTTATTGGCTCACTCCCAACTATCGCCTGTGTTACCTCCCGCCAGATAGTTCTAGAGTTATTAGTTATGTCGCCACCGTTTTATTCGATGGAATAATTCCATCATTCCTTTTGGTTGTAACTGGCATAACTACAGTAAGAAATCTTCGTAAAGGACGTGTTCAACCAATCGATGCGGCTTCAAATGGAAACAATGATCGTCGTTCAAAAGATCGTCACCTATTCCTCATTCTTCTCATCGAAATTATTGGGTATGCTCCATTAGCGATCATAACAAATGCTTATGGAATCTATCGAGAAGCTACTCAATATCAAATGAAATCGAACGATTCACAAGCAATCGAATATTTTTTGTCTAGTTTTCCTGTCCTACTTCGTGCTATGCCAAAATGCCTTAATTTTTACATATATCTAATTCTACTGAAATCCTTTCGTCGAAAAACATTTAAAATTTTGCCCTATTTCTGGCGTCAGCATTGAACTGTTACGATTGCTGTTGCCCGGGACTAGTAACAATAAGACATAAATAAATAATCTTGCTATCGTTTCGTAGCTATGTGTGCTATCTAAAGAATGTTCTAACTATTTAATTAATCAATATATATGCCAGGAGTGCAAACAAAAGTAGACGTCGGAGAAAATCTCGATGGTAGTAAGAGCAGATTTTATGCTTTATAGCGTTGTAATCGAGAATTTCGCAATTTCCATTATGGAAATTAGGTTCATTTTGAAAAGTTGAACTAATTTCGAGAAAAAGGAATGAACCATGCATTCACAAAGACACTAGCTCTTAAAGTTCTTATAATACTTTTCGAATAATAGTTTTGACTGTGCTAGAAAGCATAAATCTCATCACCCTTCGCAGTACCGTCAATGAAAGTTTCGTGTATTGAGTATTGAGTTTAGAATAACTGCTTTGGCCATTAAACGTTTTTGGAAAACGCTAAAGTGATGATGTATGTGTCAGATTAGTATTCCGTTGGTTCTGGATCACTGGAAACTCTTCTGCCATTATTGATACCAAGCACTAATAGAAAAATCCTATATTAAGTTTCACATTGGTTCGATTTTTATTAATGCTGAAAATTGTAAAGCTTATAATAATGTTTGATTTTGAAGTTAAGAGAGTTACGTCATTTGTTACCTTGTGAAAATGTTTAATTTCGATTCTTCCAACAACATGTGACCGATATAGTAATCATTAGCTCAGAAAATCTGTTTATCCTTGACGATCGTTTTAAAGTGACAAAGTGAACAAACATTAGTCAGAGCTGTGACGAATGATACACTTGAGCAGTAGAGTTACTCGAATCACTCATTTCATTGGACAAGACCGTCAAACGATTTTCCATAAATGTAAATTAGATTCATATAAGGGATAATCTGCTATAATAAAACGATTTGGCTCCTGAACATGCATGTCTGTTATTTTGGTACTGGGCGATTAGTATCCTCTCGAAAATTTATTAGACACTAAGTTTGAAACTAGTGACCAGTTACCAAACCGTGGCTACACCACTGTTTATATGTTTTTTCTTTTTCTTTCTAAGGACATCTCTTCAATGTTTGCATATACACGGTTTTCGTTGTTGTTGATTTTTCTTTGTTTGTGATGTTCTCGTCTTTTCTTCCGAAGTAAACGGATTAGGTGGGATTTTTTCCTTTTTTTATCGTGAGTACCACGACGATTTGTTCATCCTCACAGTTGGGACTTATAAACTTTCTTGTATTAAAATTTATTTAATTTGATGGTGGTATACAAGTACTTAACGGAAAAATTTGGCAGAAATCCTCACAGCAATGTCCGATTTTATTTGAGGATTAGTGAATAGTATTAAAATTTCTTTCAGCAAACATCGGCGGATAGAATTAGAAATTCAAGAAAGCAGAGATGGTAATCAAAATGTGGGAAGACGATTATATTTTCTTCTACTGTCATCACCGCTTCTATTCTTATTCTTTATACTTCATTACTTTATCGAACTAATCAAATCACCGTTGAAATTTTAAAAAAGTGCGTCTAATAACAAAACATTGACACCACCATATCTGATCCCTTTCTCCAGTACTGGATTTTCACAATGTCGTGTTTAATCGGCACATTCTTGATATCAATCCAAGTATTTAGGTGAAATCTGAATTCGATGACGATTATGATTGTGTGATGGCATCTTCATGTGTTTTAAATTGCATTCCACACATTGTTGGATATGTTGAGAAATGTTTATATGATCAACAATGTATTGAACAAATATCATAACTAGTATATTCATTCATCGTTTCTGTCAAAATTACTTATTGGAACTCAATCGAAATATTCAATAATTCGTTCAATTAATAGTAAATCTAATCAAATTGAGGGTGCCAAAAACAACGCGTGATAATAATCATTAAAAATATATGATGCACGAAAGTGCCGTTGGCGGCAACATCAGTCAATCACATTTATTACATTGGTATAAAATAGTGCTGGATTTGTGTCTCTTTTATAAAGTAAAAGATTAGATATTATATTGATTGTTTTATCAAGTGAAATGAGCTTTATAAAAACTGAAACAATTTCAATAGCACTTACTTCTAATTGACTCAAAATGTGTATTATATGCGGATTGATCTCTCTATAATCCTGATATTTATCTATCGTTAACTGAACTAGACTCTGTGGTATTATTTGATGGTTTTCAACGTGTACGAAACGTTCCATAATTATCGAAATCTGTCGCAGCTAATGAAGAAAGCCAAATCGCTTGTGGCGGACCTTTTCGATTATTAAGTAGCCAAGGATATCGTTTATTTCGTGAGATTCTTAAACGAGAGAAGATGGTACATCAAATATCTGATCCTTGTCAGCTAGCAAAAATTCGTTATAACTAGTGGTTATCGTGGAAAATGGATTCAAGATTTTAATCGCTGTTCACATGTTTCAGAACACTTACCAACCACTCTTCAATCAGTTTACAGCCGTATTAATATAAGATCTGCAGGTAGGTATCGAATTGATGCATATCATCGTAATAGTCGATTTGGTTGCTGTACTAAAGTAGATCAATGATGTTTAAGGTAGTCGTATTGTTCTTCAAATAATAAGTATTCAACCTTGTATCGAACCTCAAATAACCACGGCGAATTCGCATATGTCAGCTGATCTGATCGATTTGTTACTGAGACAACACGTTATCATACATTTCGTAATGAGAAAACAGCTCCGTTAGAATTCGCTATGTATCAAATGTGACGCTATAATAGTATACAATTGCTTTCTCTCGGCTCCGATAAACATTGATGGCCTACAAAAAGATCAACGTATTTTGACAGATAAACAAATCTATCGAAGAACTTCATCAATGTTGTCAGGTTCTTATGAACAAAGCATCAGACCGAGTTGGTTTTTATGATGAAACGAATAAGAAAACGGCATTTATCAAAGATGCTGCGAGATACCCTTGAATACAGATCAACATAAATCTCAACTTAGTCTGCATGAAAACCAGTCAAAACCTTTCGTTTGCTTTTTGTGTCTCGTTTTGAAAATGTTTATGCTTAAAGGTACAATAAAAACTGAAGAAGTGTCATAAATGTTTAGTTCATTTTCCTTCGCTTATTGTTTTCATTTGATGATTTACGGTTGGTGCTGCTTGATCAATTGTTTTATCTAATGTTTGCGAAAAACCAATTTGATTACCTTTGAACAATTTACAAAATAATATTTGTATAGCCATTCGTCGTATCTCTGTCGATAAACAAATGTAAACATAAAATGGAGCAGCGCTACTTGCATACAAATTAAGTCGAACAACATGTTGAATAAATGCTTCGACTGCCAAACGATAAGAATCTTTTGTTTGAGTAAGTGTGATACCTGTATATAAATATTGAACACCGTAGGGTAATGAAGTGACAATACAAACTAATGTTTGAGCAATAATTAATGATGTCAATTGTCGTTCGATACGTTGAAAACGACTTTGTTTTAAAGATCTTTCACTTATTTGTTTAAGATGGGTATAAGTGAGGTAACCAAATGTAGTTAATAGAATAAGAGGTAGAAAAAAATAAAGCACTGGCAGGAGAAAATAGGAAAACGCATAAACAAGAGCTTTCGATGTGCCAACACAAGACATAATACCAGACGAACTCTAGAAGACAAGAAAAAGTCAAAAATCTTTTCAATTAGTTCTCTACTCATTTACCGTGATAATATCATTATAAATCAACTGGGGTATTTGCATGAGTGACCATATAAGTGTATTTATAATAAGAAATATTCGAGCCCATTTAACTGAATTAAATTGACGAACTCGATTTGATCGAGAGGTTGATGCCCATTGATCAATAGTACAAAGACATTTTGTATATAAAGTAGCAAAATTAGTTACACCCGTAATGTAATTTCGAATTTTACAGACAGCTGGATTGAAAAAGAATAAAGCAATATTTCCTCGAACTGAAAAGCCATCAGTCATTATTCGATAACCAAGTGCAATGCCCAAAAAGATAAAATCACAGGTTGCTGCAACAAGAATATATTGACTCGAAGGAGAACGACGAAGTTCTTTCTTTGATGAAAATATAATAAGAATTGCTAAAGATCCAAAGACACCGAAAAACCAAAAGAAGATGCCCGCTATTTGATTCACATATTGACCATATTGAATAAAATCATTAATTGATGGTGGCATTTTAGGTTTTCGTTTGCTAATTTCCTGATAGACAAAGTTTTTCTTTTAATATTTGAAAAAAAAAATCTGAAAGGAAATGTTTTACTTTATATACGCTGTTCTTTTCTCTACATTTATTTGATTAAATAGTCCTAAGAGATTTCCTCAGGAATGAATAAGACTCGATTTTTTCACAAGTCAGATCAAGTAGATAACTCAAACATATATGTCAGGTTAAGACACAATTTCCTCGAAGCGAAACAATGACTTGATTTACTCATTTCTAGATTATCTTGTCATCTAGAAGAAATATTTCAATAGATTACAGAAATGGCGACGCGAGTATCAGAAAACTAATCTCTTAGTAATATATTCCACTGTTGATTACAATGAAAGAAAATCTTTTGCAGTATCATCATTGATGTTATCTGTTCTTCACGATGCTATCTCGACATTGGAAAAATGACAGTTACTTTACAGTTTGAGGATCTAACACTCACTCCTGACGTCCTTAACGCCTGAGGCAAAGCTATCGACTAAAATACTAACGACAAATGATGCATAGGCTATACGATCATGCATATGTACTTATCAGTAAGGATGTCCGACACATAGTGAAATCAAATCGGATTTTGACATAGTCTAGGTTTTGATTATAATCGTATTATACTTTTCTTTTGATATGTAACTTATTATGAAGTATCTGAAAACTGATTGTAATACGTCAACAGCAACAGTTTTTGTTTTTGATAAATGTTCATAAGTAATAGCCTCGAAATTAACCTTTGAGGGTGTCTCTATTATGCACATTTAGCAAATCCCTACGATCTAGATTTCAACCCTTTTAAAGGGTTCGTCTTGAGGCAGGATTTCAATTCCGCATAAAAAAATTCAAATTATGGAAGTTTAAGTGATTTTGTGAAAAATGGCTGAAAATCGCTTAGGAAAAGCTAAATGATTACTACTTGAGAAATTAGTAGGTTATCAAAGGATGAAATTTCACCTCAGTTTTGTATACTATTTGGGTGATATGTTCTCGGTTAAAAATTAGACTCAACCTTATGAATAACAATTCTACTTGTTGCTCATGAGCCTAAAAGATATTCAAATTCTTTATTTTCTTTCTTTTTTCATTTTACAGTACAATAGCCCTTTCGAAAAGCCCGAGAGTAATAAACCATCGATCATACGATTGTCCTTTTTCTTTACAAGCATGCCGTCATGTCGTAGTGATAAATGTTGTACGCTCACATTTTTTCTTTCATTCCTATTCGGTGCTCTTTCGTGTATCACATGCGTTGTGAAGTCGTCTTTCTTCTTATTCAATTGTAAACACCGTATAAGTGATGTGAAGAGGCACCTGTACTAGCTTAGTATTTCTTCTTTTTTTAAAAAGGTCAATCCACTAAACGTTGCAAAGATTTTTACTGATCGAGCGTCAAATTTATCGTCATATACGTTTTCGAATATTTTGAGCAGTGGAAATACTACAACAGACCGTGAATGCGTAATAGACGACCTACTATGTAGAGTACTCAAGTTGAAACAACTCTGGATCATGAGCCAAGCAAAAGCGAATTGATCAACGAAAAAGATTACGAAAATGAAGTTGAAGAAGCGATTGACTCTGATTGAAGCGAAGAAGAAGGTGATGAGATTAAGCCAAACACCAGCAAACGAAAACAACGATGGAAAACAGTGAAACGTAACTTCCGGCGTATCCCACATCAAATTTATATCGCTCGGTTTCGCCATTAGCTTGAGAGACACGGAACAACGAAGCAGAAACTTGATAGAATTGATGACTACGTAGCTGACATGTTTGATTGAGCTCGGGAGTCTGCCCTACCCGTGCACGATGCTGATCTTCGTCAATGGGCTCTGAAGAAAGCTATGGGCGAATTTGTACATAATTTTGTGACTTCGAGCTATTGGCTTTACACTGTTAAATCTGAACATAGTATTCTCTCGTAAAATGACAAAGGTAACACATTTCCTGGTTAGTCTAAAGATCTAGGAAGAAAAACCCTCGTTTTAGGCAATCAGACTGAAATTTAGAAAAAGATTCTTTCAGAGTTGCCGGTGATCAATTTGTAGGCCAAAGTGGAATCGAATCGGGATTGCTGCATGCCTATTCATTAGTTCCATTGAGATTGATTCTTACAAATTATGTAGCATACAGTTCCATTCTTACCTGATGAGTCCCCTAAGCAAGGACGAAACGCGTTGTGAATGCTTGGCAATGTTTCTTCTCTGCGTTAAACTCACCCACACCCTCACACCCACACCCTCACCCACCCTCAAGATGGAAGGGTATGGGTTAGAGTCCTGGTCTGCTTTCATGATCCTTGTTTAATAAGTTTCTCGTAGTTATTAAAGCTTATACATGGTTGCCTTCATGTCTGGACTAATAAGGGCTCTTCTTTGTGGACAAGTCTTATGGAACAATAGTTTCAATTCTTTATAATCTTTATGATTAATTCACACCTACACCCTGCATACTTCGGATGCTTTGAAAATCGACAATCTCGTGGACAAAATGAAAAGATCTATAATATTTCACCCTTCTCATCCTATGTTCAAGCTCACACTCACCCCAAAAGTCAAAGTACGTTTTTCACTTTTGTAACGTGATCTCGTCTTGTCATACAGTTTATTGCCCTTTCACACCATACTTCCCGCTATACTAAATAATCAATACAATCAAACTTATTTTATATATACTGATCCATGCAATGAAATATATATTAGATTTGGTGCTGCAAGTTCGAGAAAAAGTAACTTTCAGTAATTCGAGTATTGACAAAGTGTGAGTAATGAAAAACAAAACGCACACTCACAACAACTTTCGCCCCCTGAATGTTCGTTGCGTATATGTCACTGTTTATGCAATCGAAAAAAAATTCGTACTTTTCTTTCTTTTTAAATGTCGTGTAAATTTTATAACAATGGAAAAAATCCCGAAGTTAAATTTCTCACGGCCAAAAAAACAGCCCTTTTCCAATACATTTTTGTATCGTTTTATACTTTGTATTAAAAAAATAAAATATATCACAAGATGCAGTTTGAGAAAAACTACAAAGTACACCGAATAACTTATTTCATAACTACGGTTTCCGCTCTTACAAGTCTGAATTTCAAAAACTCAGATTTTCACTTTAGAGAAAGGGTATATGAACGAATATTTATCTTTAGTTTACTTCATCGTTTTGTTATATATGCATCCTGTAAAACTGTCCACCCTGTATTTTGCTGTTTCTGTTGCATCTTTTTAAAATAAAGTCTATCGAATAGTGAGACAGTAGAATGAGAAAAAAATCATATTGTTATGTATCAAAAATGATATTTTAAAGAAGGGATTTAAGCTACATCTTATGATATATTTTATTTTGAAAATAGTAAGTATAAAACGATACAAAAATGTAGTTTAAAAATATGGTTTTTGTTTGTCCGTAGCAGAGTGCATCTAGCAACAGCAGCAACATTCGTTTGTCTGCATCTTATTGTTTCTTACTTCAAAACAAGAAAAATATCTTAAGAAAAGTATTAATCCAAATTCCTTGCGGCATTTATTTCTACGCACTACTTTCTTATTTTTTGCAAGTTTCAAAGATTGTATATAAAGGCATGCGAACAATCGTTTTGAATTTCATTTTCTTTCAGCGTCAAAATTGTTGACTGATAATGATTCGTAACTTTTTTATCATTATTTTTATTCTTGAATTTTCTGTCGTCGATCCTAGCCATTTTTATGGTGGAACAATTACAGCGTGAGTTTCTAGTATATTTAATCTATATTGCATCAAACATATATATTATAGACGTCCTGAAAACGTTTCGCAGACGACTGGTACAGTACAGTTGATAGTGCGTGAACGGTGGTCCTGGCGTAAAAGTTACTATCCTGTTGCTTCGCGATGCACTAATGCTATTATTGCTGCACAAACTCCTATGATTGGTGACGGTAGCGCTGTGGCGTGTGTATCTGGTGCTGCTTGCGGTTCTCACTGGAGCACTGGTGGTGCTACAATGAACACACTTACTTGGTGTACTGATTATAGTGAAAATCTTGATACGCATTCCGGCGAATACTACAATACGTTCCCAATCCCAATCAATGCTTCATTCAGTATCTGTTTTGCCAGTAATGCTTGGCTTAACGCAATGGGTTCAGGGAGTGGTGGATCTTGGAGTGTTTGCGGTCGAATTAGTACTGTTGTTCGACCAGATGGTTATTTGAATACTAGTCCTGTTGCTGTTTCACTTCCAATTATCTACAAACAAGTGCAAGTACAACATGCACATGTTGTTCAAATGTCTGACTTTGATGGATCAGATACTTTGATATGTCGTTGGGCTACTTCGTCAGGCAATGTCAATGGTGCTGATGAATGTGCTGGCATATGCCGTAGTACTGTTGCTAGTGTTCCCGCTTCTCTAACTGGATCGAATTGTACGATGAGCTTTACACTTCCAAGAGCTAGATGGTATTACGGAGTAGCCTTGCAAATTGAAGATTTTTATGATAGTGCAGCAGTTACTGCAAATAAGCCAATGTCTTCCGTTCCGATGCAGTTTCTTTTCTATGGTTACAATGATTCCAGTAGTTGTAATACTCCACCAGCAATTATTGGTGAACGACCAAATAGGGGTACGTATCTCAAAACATATAACTGAAAATTTGTGTATTCATTTCTAATGATTTCTTTTCAAAGCTTGTATTGGTGTGCCGATCAATGTAACTCTTACCTTAACTGTCATCGTACAAATCTTTTGTGCCGGAAAAAACATTTCTGATTTTATTTCAACCGTGCCACGTGGTGTCACGAAGGGTCCTATTACAAAAAATTCAGGCACTGGTTTGTATATAATGTGTGGCTAAACTATTTCTGTTCTCATATTATTTAATTTTCAGGTAACTATGAAATGATTCTTACATGGACACCCCGAGCCGATCAGTATGGTCCTCAAGGAATATGTATGGCAGCAATCGATAATACAAATATTCCATCGAATCAATGGTGTATTACATACTTAGTTGGCTTTGACTCACCTGAAGTTATTCGACCAAAATTGGTTCAAGGTTCAGCATCACCAATCGGTACTGTCTTTCAAAATCAAACTACTTTTTCGATTCAAAGTAATAATTCTGTAACGATTGTATTTTCTATTATTGATTTATATTTTTAGCTTCGAAATTCGTTAATCGTCCGACACGAAATGGAACTACTATCTATTTTAATAATGTCACTGGTGGAATCGTTCAACAATTTGACTGTGGTTGGGATCCACATGTAACATATACAGGTTATACGATTGTTATTAATTTTGATACTGCGCCATGGGTTCCTGGACAGTTCTATTATGTTACAATGGACAGTGGTATGATTGAGTCCTCTTCTCTTTTCGTATCTATTTTCTTTCTTAATATGATTTTAGGTGTTGCTAGTGGAACAGAATTTTGTGGTCCTGAATCTGCACCAATGTATGATCCAACTTTTTGGGTATTTAATATATGGAATCCAGCAGTATCATCAACAACAACAACTACTACAACTCCTTTCACAACTGCAACAGTAACAACAAAACCAACATCAACAACAAGTATCAATACTTTATTAACAACAACTGGTATTGTTATAACCACAACTTCAGTTGTTACAACGACAGTAACAACTTCAACATCTACAACTGGTAAATAAATCAAATATTTTCCTTTCTTTTCCAATGATTTTATTTAGCTACAACAACCACTCCTTTAACTGTATCAACGACAACAACTGAATCAATACTTTCTCCAATATCTCCAAAAGATTTTGTAAATATTTCATATCTCAATTTCGAACATATTTGTATTGATAATTTCAGGAAGAATATTGTCGACAATCCATTGCATTAATGACAAGTCTTATACTTATTGCGTTAATGCCTGTACACGGTTTAGCAATGTATGGACTATTCACTAAACTGGACAATACATTTAATCCATCGCGAATTCGAACAAAACAACGACATAAACAACGAATGAAGCGAATTTTGTGATCTAAAAGACAATTTCACTGATTTCAGCACATGGAATTAATCGAGAACTATTTTGATTTTCTTTTTAAATTTAATTATTATATTTATCTCAAAATAAACTTTTGTGTGATGTGTATCTTATTTGAATAAAAGAAACATATAATTAAAAACGTGAATGTACACATCTTTATTATTCTTCTTATAGTTCGGGCGAATAATATAGACAAACAGAAATGTAGAACAACATTCTTTCGTTTACTGTAGAAAGAACAAACTCAAACACAAAAACACAATCGTCATAGAAACATTCTTTTACAATTTTACAAAGTGAGAAAAGAATAATCGTGTGCTATTGTATTGAATCATTTACAAATTTAAAAAAAAATATTCTTTTCTCATGTCAAAAAGCAAATACTAGGAAAATCATCGATTTTTATCCACCCTGAAAAACTTTTAGAAACAAACTATGTTGTGGATAGATAACTACTACAATATACGTTTCCTGAGATCTCATCATTTTTTGCAATGAAAAAGCTATGAAATGTTAAAAACCATTGATTATATGTCGAAGCAACTAGAGAATTCATTTTTTGTGTAAATTGTGATATTTCAATACTGTTAATAATCAGACTTCCTTTTTCTTTCAGTATAACATTAAACGATATAATGGCTAATATGTGCATATACGAACGATGAAAAAAAACAATCAGAATAGTGAATACACGTCATTATTACACGCTGTTATTTATGTACGATGAATCGTCGGAAAGTGAAAAAACTATACATCTTCTGTTGTAACTAAATAACAGACTGTACTGTAGTTATCAGTTTACAATCTTTTCTAAAACTGCTATCAAAATTTTTATAAAAGGTAGGTGGAAGAAAGTTGTATAACTTTTGATTGAACAGTTATTTCGAATTGCGATTTTCACCATTCAGTAGAGGAGGTTCGGGGGCAGATACCTATGTGGCGAAGTCGCCATTTAAAGTATTCTATCAAGTAGATTTTCGCCGACAAAATAGAGCATGTATTACGAGATCTTTTTGGGGACTTTTTTCATAATGCTGGTACCCCAACAACATGCCCACTTCACACTGATATCGAAGGAATTTTCTTAGTTTCCTCACTGTAAATACTAGAGATATTTCAACGATGAAACTACACGTAAGACATTCCCCGCTAAAAAAATGAAAATTTGATCAAAGTATAAGCAAAATACAAGTTTTTTATACTATACTAAGCGGTATGTAAGTATTCATTTTCTGTTCAGATCATGAACACAGAGCTGCAAGAATGCTCATCTTGAAAGTTGTTTTCAAGAAAATTCTTTTCTTTCAGTTTATCTCATCTTGTAATCTTTAGATTTTTATAAAATCTTTTATAGCAACTGTGATTCTGTTATCCTTAAACAAAAACGTATTGGACTAAATTAATTATGAACAGAAAAAGAACTCTTATGCTGTGCTTTACTATTCGTCTTCTGACTCTGTTTCCTCACTATCAGATCGTAAATGTGGTTCGATATCTTCCTTCATAATTGCATCCTCCGTTTTGTACATTTCTTCAATTCCACGAACATGATGAAAATACGAAGCTGCACATATATCGTCCATCGCCACCATGAACCACCCAATCGGTTGTTTTACATCATCCTGACTCGCTAGTTTTAACAATTGAGCTTTAATGAATTTTTCTATCTTTCAGTCATTGTTAAAGAACGTTTTGGAATCACTGAATCATTTGTGAGTTTGTTGTACCAAATTGCATTGACTAGACAAATAACAGCTCCCTTTTTTTCTCCTAAAAACAAAGTGTCAAAAATCGTTAATGAAAAGCAAGACTCAAAATGCATCACTTTATCAACCTCCATTCTTGACGTTGCACAAGTTGAATCTATATTATGGTCTTAGGTACATGTTCGAATATCAACCGATGGGATGTGATAACCATTAATGCCTATAAGTGCTATGTGAAAGAATTATTTATGAGTGCCGTCATGGTTTAACCTTCTCTCCACCTTTTTTGATTTCCCCTTCGCCATTTATTGTCCAAATAGATCGTTTAACCTATCGAAGATTTATCCAAGTTTCATCATCATAGTATAAGTGAACGTTATCTTGTCTAAACTCTTCAAGAATCTGAAAGGATTTCGCCCTTGCCACAACAAAAGCTTGTGAATCCATTGCAAGTTTTATCTTTGATGTTCGTCGATATATAAAGCCAAGCTAAAAAAATAGTAAAAAGTGATGTAGTATATTTTTTCTTTTCTTTCTCATATACGTGAGTATAATATTTCATTTACGTTTTTCATTTTTTTTACATATCGTACTTGTCGAATGAATTGCGAAATCTTCATATTGCTTTGTCAACCTTTTCAACAGTTTTTTCGAAGTCGGATACACTTTTCCTTGCTCTGATAAAACAATATCCGGACGACCAGAACGCACTTAAACCAGAAAAGTTAATTTTCAAACTATTCATGAAAAAAATCTTCCACTTTTTTCAGGCAATAATGCCTTGAGAAACAAGATGATCGACATGATTTGTTGAATATTACGCATGTACCAATCCCGATTTCGATTCTAGAATCGAATGGGAATTGGAATTGGTTGAAACTGACTGGGATTTACTAGAATTGATTTGGAACTGACACGCCATAGTTAACAACTTTCACGGACTTCATGAGATCTGACAGGGAGCTATTCCTAAATGCTTTTTGTTGCTGGACATTCGTCTGTCGCTGAATAAAACTGCTCGGAACTATTTTTCGTTTAGTTAAAAGTAATAATATATTTTGAATATATCTCGGCTCGATTCCGACTAATTGTAGGATCGGAATCGAATCGAATCGGGATTGTTGCATGCCTAGTAAATTCTGTTCTCAAGCAGATGCCTCAAATATACATCTACCACTTTAATCGTATATCGATAATATCTCAAGAGCAATCTTCAACTTATTAAACGTGTATTTCAAATAAAACCATTCCAATACGGATTCTACGATAGCAATCTGCTCAACTTCATCAATATCAACAACTGCAAGGTAAGTGCAAACAAAAATAACTGCTTATCAGACGACAGCTACAAATATAATGTGTTAAACAAGCATCCCGCAAGCAGAAAACATCCCCATAATACATGCACGTTTTGAATATCATGTAAAGCAGTTCATTTTGTTATGAGTTAGCTTGCATATAGACTTTTTATATTTGAAAACATAAGCCATCTGATGAGTCTTCTTGAGCGAAACACAAAACCACTCATGGCAGCTCATTTAACCCTCACCCACACGCTCAAAACGTTCTCAAGAATAGAAATTATTAAAAATGACGCCATTCAGTATGAGATTGTTTGAATCTTCTGGACTGAAAAATCGAGAATAATTAATTTTGCTGAAGAAATATCGAATGGACTATCTGCTGCTGTATTAGTAAGTTGCCCAGATTCATAAAGAAAACGAATTATGAGCGTATTGCATTTAGTGTTTTGACTCGTGAAACTATATTTGTTACAACATTGGGTGTCAATGAACCATTATACTTCTCGAAAAGCTCACCGATTCTTTTGACATCAGTAAAAAGTACTTCATCTTTATATTGATCATTACGCATTTTAATCTCTATGTCATATTGTGTGGTAAAAACATAAGGTTTGTGTGTACGTTGGAGTTGAGATTAACTGCGACCTTCGAATCGTTGTTCCGTTGCAAGTTGATTGTTGACTAAATGTAATAAACAAAGATTCTCTAGGAGTTTCAAAACTGTCAAATAACAACATCTTCTAAACTATCGTCGATATTCTTCTGTTTGTGTTGTCTAGTTTTGATTTTTCATATTAATCTAATGGAATAAATGTTTCTGTATTTGTTGGAACTATAGGAGATTTCATTTCTGAGTGGTCAAAATATTTTAGTTGACAGACAATTGGAGAAAAATTTATGATAAAAATGAAATTTATTTAGAAGAAAAAGAGAGATCTCCATTTCAAATCGTTGTCTTTAATAAAGTACGGCTGTCCGTTCTCGTCCAACCCAATTTGATGTACCAGTCCCAGCGTTTTGTACTAATTGAAATCTATGATAAGGATGTATTGTTGATGCATGTAAAATACATTGTTCACATAAATCATATGTATTTGCTCCTCGACAATGTTGACATTGGTATCGTATCATACCATTTTGTCTTCCACAGCTATCACAAAACCATGGTGCAATTAACATGATGATATAAACGAAAATAACAAGAAAATCAAACGATGCATTTATTTACTAAGGAAATCAAGCGTAACTTATATGTTTACGTCATCGATAACGAAGAGAAAGAAATGAAAAAATATATATATTCAAATAAATAGATGGCGTTAATGATACCTTAAAAATTCGTCGATTTCTTATACTAACAATGAATCACTTTGAAAATTTATCAAATAAAAACTTTTACGAAAATAATTTATTTTATTTTATTGTAATAATGAATTATATAATGAACAATTTATTTGATTATATTCAATTAATTCAATATTTTATCATTTAGAATTGATTATATTTACAAATATTTCAACGTATTATTCATCTTATCTATTTGAAATCTTTGTTAAGTCTGTTATCTTTCCAAATTTTCTTTGATTATTATGAAAATGATATTAATGAGATGTTTATCAACTTATATTTTAATCATCTTTCTTAAAATATCTCAGAATAAAAGTCGATAATTTTGAAATACCAAATCTACCTTCTTCAATGATACCAAATGAACGATAAACATCAATCGAATACTTTATTTTCTTTTATTACACAATGCTTAATCTAAATACAAATTCAACTGAAATTTTCAGAAACTTGGACAATTTGGCTCATTTCAATTTGTCTTGAGTATTACTGTTAAAATTATCAAATATGACAATATTTAAAGAAGATAAAGGAGTATTCGATGTAAATCGACGGAAAAAACCAGTTCAAAAGAATATACCGAGTTTGGAAAGATATAGATGAAGATTTTCAAATTATCTTTTACTATTTTAAATAGAGAAATTTCAAGTTCACTTTTTCCTATTTTTTTCGTTTCTAGGAAAGAATTTCATGAATTTCGAGAATATATATCTTATTATGAAAGAAATTTGTGTTCTAATGTGTATTTAAATATAATCCATGTAAATCAATTAACAAAGAAATGTTAGATTGAGTCTATGAAAATACTGTTACTAAATTAATGGTACTATGTGTAACATTTTTAATACCTTCAGGTGAATTTTTTATAATAAAACCAAAGATATTATTCAATTTCATTGATGTTTGAAGAAATATAAAATTAGGAATGTAATGGATGGTGATGACGGTGATTTTATTATTAATATTTCTTTCCAACCGAAATCATTTTCAATACAATACATATCATAGCAAATGGAATTGAGCTCTCTCTTTGTTTTTGTTGAATAAATTTGGTCATATAGTCCTACAGAGTTATAGATAAATTGATCTAACAAAGGAGGGGGGCGCTTAAGAGCTGAAATCGGCCCCCCCTCAAAACTATTCCTAATTCACTCAAACCCGTACAACTCAACCTGCTGAATTCAAAAATTAAAGAATTAAGCACTCCTCAAAGACCAATATCCATAGATATCGCTTTTTTCTTTAGCTGGTAAATACATGGTTTTCACCCTGCTTCGACCCTATCGTTAAGAGANTAATTCTTACGACTGATAAGGATTTCAAAGCCTAACTTTCAAGCTTCTGTCATTAGAGTCCACGCTAAATCACGACTGAAGATTTTCTCGAAGTGTTCCAGCAAATGTGTAATGTTGGTCTTAGTGGTAATCATAGTGGTCACGTATTCAGTATTTATCAATCGACGTGAAAGAAGTCAAGAGACTTCAATAGGTAATGATCGTATTATTGCTATTTATAGCGTCCAGGATCGGTAGCTACTTGCTTTTCGAACTATTCTATTGCAGTTGTTTTCATCAACTCCACTATCATCCACTCATCAACGGCTGAGACAATAACAGCGAGTACCGCAAATACTTCCTGTAAGTACAACAAGAAGATTACTTAATAATTTTTGTTCTCCATTAGTGACACATTGTCAGGCAACATTCGAATTAATATCAGTACAAACAAGTGACGATAACCCAGCATATTTCTATCCTATTGCTGGAGACTTCAATGGCGATAATCAGTTGGATATTGCCTATTATTCACCTGTGTTTGATAGCATAGGCGTGGTATTAGGAATTGGTAATGGAAGTTTCGAAGCATTTGTAAAGCTGATTCCACTTTATGGTGCTTCAATAATCGAGATGACCGTTGGCAATTTCAACGAAGACAACTATCTGGATGTCGTCACCATAGTTAATGAGTACAACTCGTATCTATTGATTTTGGTTGGACAAGGTGATGGCACTTTCGAAGCATCTACGCCGTTTCCTCAGAGAATGCTCTATTATACTCGTGATGTCGTAGTCTCGGATCTAAACGATGATAATCAACCAGATATTGTTGTTGTCAGCAGCTATATGCACTATATTGTTTTGTTTCTTGGAATCAATAACGAGATGTTCACAGAATATTAGTGGTTATCCGCTGGTTTTAGTATCAGCGCACGCTCGGTCGTTGTCAACGAGTTTAACAACGATAACCATTCGGATATCGCTATCTTAGATGAATATAGTAGAAATATAATCGTCTTTCTCGGGCGTGGTGATAGTACTTTTGAAGAACGGATAGTATCTTTCACTGGTGGCGCACTGGTCCCGGTTTATATAACAGTGGGGGACTTCAACGGTGATGGTCATTCAGATATCATATTTTACAAATACGATCCTTCGAGTATAGATATTTTGCTTGGCAACGGAAGAGGTCGTTTTGAACGAAAAACGATACTTCAAATTGAGATTCCGTACGATATAGCTCGATTAATTGCTGGCGATTTCAACGGTGATGGTTATCAAGATATAATCAATTTAGTAGCCTATAGTCCTCCGTTTAACGTCCTTTTGAATACGTGTCAATGTTGTACAACTTAGTATTTGTATGAGGATTTGATATAAAGGTGAAATATAAATACTTACACTTACGAAAAGATCAGCAACTCGACACATTATCTCTTTCTCATTAAATAGTCTTGATAAAAACATGCTTTTCTTCTTACATAATGCAACATTTTGATAACATTCGTCAGCATGTTATCATTGCTTATATTTGTTTTTTCTTCTATTTGGCTAAGTTGATATCACTTGTTTCATGTGATCATTTTTTTCGTTCACAAGCATCTCGTTAGTATCATCATGATGACCAGTATTGGCCCGTTGTTTGATATTCATCAATTAAACGAAGAGCAACAAAATAAATTTCAGTTTGTTTACAATGAATTGAAACCAAAGTATACATCTTACTTGGAGCACAAACTTAGTTTACCATTGAAGACACAAGTGAACAACGAAGAAGAAGAAAATGAATGGAATTATGAATTACACAGATTTTTACGAGCGAGAAAATGGAATGTAGAACATACAATTAAAGCTCTTGAGGAGATGTTACAATGGAGAAGAGATAATCAAGTTGACTTGGTTTTAGAAGAGGAAGTAACAATACAACGAGCGACACTTTTACAAAAAATCCTTCCATATATGAATCATGGCTATACAAAAGCCGATCATCCATTGTATATGGAAAAATCCGGTATTATATATGTTGGTAAAATCTTGAGTGAATTTACGACCGAACAGCTACTTCGGCATCATGTTTATTGGCTCGAATTTAATTGTCGACGAGCGAGAGAACGTAGTCGACAAATTGGTAAACATATCGAAAGTTTTACAATCGTTTCCGATTTACATGGTTGCAATATGGAAATTCGAAAAATCTTTCCGCCATTCAGACAATCTCTTTATATTGATAACAATTATTATCCGGAACGACTCGGACAAATGATCTTTATTAATCCGCCAACGGTATTTCCTATTCTATGGAATCTGGTTAAACCTTGGCTCGATCCGGTGACTAAATCAAAAATTGTTGTAATCAAAAAAGGTCCTGAAACTACAAACACATTATTACAATATATCGATGTAGAGCATTTACCACTCGAATATGGAGGAAATTGTCAATCATGTCCAACCGCACCGGATTGTATCCGAGTGTATGATTGGAACAAAGAAGATACTAAGGAGAAGTCGAAAAAAAATTGATTTAATCCTATAGAATAAATAAACTATTCACTACGACACGATCAATGGAAAGCTTACTTTGATTTTTTCTACATGATCCATTCTTCAATCTCAAGTCGAACATCCTCCCCCCACAAATTTCATCATATGAATGTTCAAGTTCAATAAATTCTTCGTCTTTTATTGCTATTTTTTGTAGAAGAACATTGTAACAAAGTTTGTCTTCGAACATGAATTGTAATAAACATTGATGAGAAAAGAAGAAATAAATATAAACAAGTTGAATCAGGATGAATTTGTATGACAATATCGTCTTGAATACCATTTTTAAAGAAATTCAGTTCAAGTAGATTCTTTCTGAAAAATTTCAGGAACAAACACGATAGAAAGCTGATTAATATTGTTTGATGTAAATTTTTCTCTCAGAATAAAGGAATGTAGTTCTAATTTTAAATCGCTTAGCAATGAATCGAACGTTAAATAAATAAAATTCAATTGTTAAAACAAGTTTTCTCATCGAAAGAGTTATGCTACCAATGGGAAGGAAGAGTCAACTTCATTTATTTCTTCTGCTAGTAACGTAGTGCTTGTCGTTCTCTCGAAACGCCGAAGAAGGTCCAATTATATCCTGATATTATGATAACTAGTAGATCTGTAAGAACGCAACGATTTCACTTTTTGAAATTTTGGGATACTTTTTTTAGGGTTACTTCATAAAATTGAATTGTTTCTGTTCTAGTTAAAATAAACAAGAAGTATTCTCTTTTGATCGTCAATTCGTCGCGTAATGAAGATTGTTTTGTTTCCCTTGAGAGAAAACCTCTTAGTTATCACATAGCGATTCAAGTCAATAATAATTCACAAGAAATATAACTACTTAATCATTTTGATCGAAATCATAATCTTGCAAAAAAAGTAAGCGCTTTGTCTGTGTGTTGGCATATCACTGATTATGATTGAAAAATAACAAACGAATTTCTTTCACTTGCTGAATATGAATTTTTCAATAGTATCAAACTTGCGCATCACTGATTTCGTCATCAGTTAGTTTTCCTACAGATGACCTTTCTTTTTAATAATGTCAAATCTTCAGTTATATAGCATCATTCAAAATAATTTATCCAATTATTGAGTTAGTTTTTTCATGTGCAAAGGGACTATCTATAATATGAAACACAAAGAAACAAAGCCTCTAAAAAGAAAATGCAAAATTCATTAGCAGAAGTATCATTTGGAAAAATGCAACACACAAAAGAACACGTACGAGGGTCATTTTAGCGTAAATAATTAATTTCGAAGACTCTTCTTTTCTTTTATCATTTCTCTAAATATAAGAACATGTTTAAAGAAAATCATTGAAATTATGTAGAACATCATTTGGTTAGATTACGGTAAAAAGGTAAGTACTCGTCGAAAATACTAACTTGCCAGATATTCTGCCTTTCGAATCTATTCTCAATACTTTTCAGCGTTCTACATTTTGGATAACGAAAGAATTAAAAGGTAAACGAGTGTGTGTACACAAGATCCCTTTTATTAATTGCAAATATCGGGTATAAATAGATTTAGAAGAAAACTAGAATACTAGAAAACATGCCGTCATACGGAAGAAACGAATGAAGATGTATAAAGTCATGGATATAAGATTTTACCTCTTAACAGTGTCTTTATGTAGGTAATAATTAGATTTGTTATTATTTCGTTAACAAATTATCTTCCTACGATTCCAAACAAGTTTTGCTATTTTAGAGTTGTTTTTCTTACTCTATTGCATCAGAATATCTTTGACTACGATGGCATCTAATGTTGTCAATAATTTGAATAGTTTGTTCAAAAACATCAATTATTACTCATTTACTATATTCGGTAATGTTATGATGGTTGTTGGTACTGTGGCTACTCTTTTAGGTATTATTGTGTTTAGCCACAAAACAATGAGACAAAATGCTGGCTGTATTTATTATATTGCGTATTATCTCGTCAATGGACTCACATTATATACTAGTTTATTCGCAGCAATTTTATCGTTTTTTAATATTGATCCTTCGTATAATAATGTTGCTTATTGTAAAATTTCTTTCTATCTTAGAATGTCATTGGGCCTAATTGCGACATACATTCTTGTATTGGCGTCGATTGATCGAGCTTTAATTACTTCAGCAAAAGCGTCAATACGACAACGTAGTACTCATCGATTAGCATATTGTTCTATTTTTGGNAAATCTTATTATCGTCGAGATTTTCTCCGACGTCTTCTTTTGGTTGTAACTGGCATAACTACAGTAAGAAATCTCCGTAATGGACGTGTTCAACCAATCGATGCGGCTTCAAATGCAAACAATAATCGTCGTTCAAAAGATCGTCACCTATTCCTCATTCTTCTCATCGAAATTATTGGATATGCTCCATTAGCGATCATAACAAATGCTTATGGAATCTATCGAGAAGCTACTCAATATCAAATGAAATCGAACGATTCACAAGCAATCGAATATTTTTTATCTAGTTTTCCTGTTCTGCTTCGTGCTGTGCCAAAATGCCTTAATTTTTACATATATCTAATTCTATTGAAATCCTTTCGTCGAAAAACATTTAAAATTTTGCCCTATTTCTGGTGTCAGCATTGAACTGTTACGATTTCTGTTGTTCAGCATTAGTAACGATAAGACATAAATAAACAATCTTGCTATCGTTTCGTAGTTCTGTGTGCTATTTAGAGAATGTTCTAATTATTTACTTAGTCAATATATATGCCAGGAGTGCAAACAAAAGAAGACGTCGGAGAAAATCTCGACGATAATAAGATTTGATGCTTTATAGCGTTTTCCGGGGAATTGCAATTTGCATCGGTAATAGACAACAGCTATAGAGTTTAGTTTTCCCTTTTGGTACTGACCGTAATCGAGAATTTCCTAATTTCCATAATGGAAATTAGGTTCATTTTGGAGAGTTGAACTTATTTCGAGGAAAAAGAATGAACCATACATTCACAAAGACAATAGCTCTTAAAGTTCTTATAATACTTTTCGAATAATAGTTTTGACTGTGCTACAAAGCATAAATCTCATCACCCTTCGCGGCACCGTCAATGAAGGTTTCATGTATTGAGTATTGAGTTGAGAATAACTGCTTCGACCATTAAATGTTTTTAGAAGATGCTATAAAGAATCGTATGGTTTCAACGCTAAAGTGATGATGTATGTATCAGATTAGTATTCGATTGGGTCTGGATCACTGGAAATTCTTCTGCCGTTATTGATACGAAGCACTAAGAGAAAAATCCTATATTAAGTTTCACATTGATTCGATTTTTATTAATTCTGAAAATTGTAAAGCTTATAATAATGTTTGATTTTGAAGTTACGAAAGTTATGTCATTTGTTAAATTGTGAAAATGTTTAATTTCAATTCTTCCAACAACATGTGACCGATATGGTATCAATAGCTCAGAAAAACTGTTTATCCTTGAACATCGTTTTAGAGTGACAAAGTGAACAAACATTAGCCAGAGCTGTGACGAATGATACGCTTGAGCAGTAGAGTTACTCTAATCATTTATTTCATTGGACAAGGCCGTCAAATGATTTTTCATAAATATAAATTAGATTATAATATAAGGGATAATCTGCTATAATAAAACGATTTAGTTTCTGAACATGCATGCCTGTTATTTTGGTACTGGTCGATTAGTATTTTCTCGAAAATTTATTTGTCAATAAGTTTGAAACTATTGGCCAGTTACCAACTCCTGGCTGCGCCACTGTTTATATGTTTTTTTCTTCCGAAATAAACGGATACCGTAGGTGGAATTTTTTCCTTTTTTTATCGTGAGTACCACGACGATTTGTTCATCCCCATAGTTGGGACTTATAAACTTTCTTGTATTAAAATTTCTTTCAGCAGACATCGACGGATAGAATTGAAAATTCAAGAAAGTGCAGATGGGAATCAACGTGTGGGGAGACGATTATATTTTCTTCTACTTTTCATCACCGCTTCTATTCTTATTCTTTATATTTCATTACTTTATCGAACTAATCAAATCACCGTTGAAATATAAAAAAAAAGTGTGTCTAATAACCAAACATTGACAATAACATATGCGCTCCCTTTCCCTAGTACTGGATTTTCACAATTTCGTGTTTTTATCGGCACAATCTTGATATCAATCCAAGTATTTAGATGAAATCTGAATTTGATGACGATTATGATTGTGTGATGGCATCTTCATGTGTTTTAAATTGCATTTCACATGTTGTTGGATATGTTGAGAAATGTTTATATGATCAAGAATGTATTGAACAAATATCATAGTATATTCATTCATCATTTCTGCGAAAATTACTTATTGAAACTCAATCGAAATATTCAATAATTCGTTCAATTAATAGTAAAACTAAATAAATTGAGCGTGCCAAAAACAACGCGTATGATAATAATTACTAAAAATGTATGATGCACGAAAGTGTCGTTGGCGGCAACACCAGTCAATCACTTTTATTATATTGGTATAAAATAGTGCTGCATTTGTGTTTCTTTTATAGAGTAAAAGAATAGATATTATATTGATTGTTTCATCAAGTGAAATGAGCTTTATAAAAACTGAAACAATTTCAATACCTCCACTTCTAATTGACTCAAAATGTGCATTATAAGTGGATGGATCTCTTTATAATCCTGATATTTATTTATCGTTAACTGAACTAGACTTTGTGGTATTATTTGATGGTTTTCAACGTGTACGAAAAGTTACATAATTATCGAAATCTGTCGCAGCTAATAAAGAAAGCCAAATCGCTTATGGCGAACCTTTTCGATTATTAAGTGACGAAGGATATCGTTTATTTCGTGAGGTTCTTCAACGAGAGAAAATGATTCATCAAATATCTTATGCTCGTCAGCTAGCGAAACTTCGTTATCACTAGTGGTTATCGTAGCAAATGGATTCAAGATTTTAATCGCTATTCACATGTTTTAGAACACTTACTGAACACTCTTCAATCAATTTACAGCCGTATTAACATAAGATATACACAGGTGGATATCAAATTGATACATATCATCGTGATAGTGTATTGTATATTGTTATCCTATTGGCATATGATATGAGTCAAACATGCAAGGTGAAATGATAATTGATTTCATTTCTGTACTAAAGTATTCAACCTTGTATCGAACCTCAAATAACTATGGTCAATTTATATATGTCAGCTGATCTGATCGATTTGTTACTGAAGCAACACGTTATCATACATTTCGTAATGAGAAAACAGCTCCATTAGAACTCGCTATGTATCAAATGTGGTGCTCTAATATACAGTTGCTTTCTCTCAGATCCGATAAACTTTGATGGCCTACAAAAAAGATCAACGTATTTGACAGATAAGCAAATCAATCGAAGAACTTCGTCAATGTCGTCAGGTTTTTATGGACAAAGCATCAGATCGAGTTGGTTTTTTGTGATGAAACGAGTAAGAAAATGGCATTCGTCAAAGATGTTGCGATACCCTTGAATACAGATCAACACAAATCTCAACTTAGTCAGCATGAAAACCAGTAAAAACCTTTCTTTCGCTTTTTGTGTCTCATCTTGACAATGTTTATGTTTAAAGGTACAATAAAAACTGAAGAAGTGTCATAAATGTTTCATTCATTTTTCTTCGCTTATTGTTTTCATTTGATGATTTATGGTCGATGCTGCTTGATCAATGGTTCTATCTAATGTTTGCGAAAAACCAATTTGATTATGTTTGAACAATTTACAAAATAATATTTGTATAGCCATTCGTCGTATCTCTGTCGATAAACAAATGTAAACATAAAACGGAGCAGCGCTACTCGCATACAAATTAAGTCGAACAACATGTTGAATAAATGCTTCGACGGCCAAACGATAAGAATCTTTTGTTTGAGTAAGTGTGATACCTGTATATAAATATTGAACACCGTAAGGTAATGAAGTGACAATACAAACTAATGTTTGAGCAATAATTAATGATGTCAATTGTCGTTCGATACGTTGAAAACGACTTTGTTTTGAAGATCTTTCACTTATTCGTTTAAGGTGAGTATAAGTGAGATAACCAAATGTAGTTAATAGAATAAGAGGTAGAAAGAAATAAAGCACCGGCAGGAGAAAATAGGAGAACGCATAAACAAGAGCTTTCGATGTGCCAACACAAGACATAAGACCAGACGAATTCTAGAAGAAAAGAAAAAGTCAAAAAACTTTTTCAATTAGTTCTGTACTCATTTACCGTGATAATATCATTATAAATCAATTGAGGTATTTGCATGAGTGACCATATAAGTGTATTTATAATAAGAAATATTCGCGCCCATTTAATTGAATTAAATTGACGAACTCGATTTGATCGAGAGGTTGATGCCCATTGATCAATAGTACAAAGACATTTTGTATATAAAGTAGCAAAATTAGTTACACCCGTAATATAATTTCGAATTTTACAGACAGCTGGATTGAAAAAGAATAAAGCAATATTTCCTTGAACTGAAAATCCATCAGTCATTATTCGATAACCAAGTGCAATGCCCAGAAAGATAAAATCACAGGTTGCTGCAACAAGAATATATTGACTTGAAGGAGAACGACGAAGTTCTTTCTTTGATGAAAATATAATAAGAATTGCTAAAGATCCAAAGACACCAAAAAACCAAAAGAAAATGCCCGCTATTTGATTCACATATTGACCATATTGAATAAAGTCATTCATTGATGGTGACATGCTAGGTTTTCGTTTGCTAATTTCCTGATAGATAAAGTTTTTCTTTTAATATTTGAAAAAAATCTGAAAGCAAATGTTTTACTTTATATACGCTGTTCTTTTCTCTACATTTATTTGATTAAATAATTCTAAGAGATTTCCTCAGGAATGAATGAGACTTGATTTTTTCACAAGTCAAATCAAGTAGATAACTCAAAAATATATGTCAGGTTAAGACACAATTCCCTCGAAGCGAAAAAATGGCTTGATTTACTCAGTTCTGGATTATCTTGTCATTTGGAAGAAGTATTTCAAAAAATAATTAATATTTCTTTCAATGGATTATAAAAATGATGACGCGAATATCGGAAAACTAATTTCTTAGTAATATGTTACACTGTTAATTACATGAAAGAAAATCTTTTGCAGTATCGTCATTGATATTATCTGCTCTCCACAATACTATCTCGGCATTGAAAAGATGACGGTTAGTTTACAGTTTAAAGATCTAACACTCACTGTTGGGGTCCTTAACGCCTGAGTCAAAGGTATCGAATAAAATACTAACGACAGATGATACATAGTCTATATGATCATGCTTACATAATCGAAGCGTGTACTTACGAGTAAGAACGTCCGACACATACTGAAATCAAATCTGATTTTGACATAGTCTAGGTTTTGATTATAATCATATTATACTTTCCTTTTGATATGTAACTTATTATGAAGTATCTGAAAACTGATTGTGATACGTCAACAGCAACAGTTTTGGTTTTGATGAATGTCCATAAATAATAGTCTCGAAATTAACTTGTAAGGATGTGTCTATTATACACATGTAGAAAATCCCTACGATCTAGATTTGAATCCTTTTAAAGGGTCCGTCTTCAGGTAGGATT